AATTTGATAACGTCTCTCCACAGGACATCGGGGTGTCCACCATATCATACATAAACACGTTGGGCTAAAATACATTTAGTGTTCATTACAATTTATTTGATAACATGTCTGAACATGATTTAAGCCGTACAGAATGGTTATATTCACTTGTACTACACACAAAAGGTCAAATATTAAAGTTTCATCGTTATTCTATTTAATACCTACTGTTTATTTCCACTGATTAGGAATATATTTAGTCGTTTTTTACTAGTTGGGTTAACTAATTTTATTTTTATCTATTTTTTAATGAATATTTCTGTTTTCCCATATTATATGATACACATAATGTTTACTTCAAGTATCCCTAATTGTGTCATAGTAATAATATAATACTAAGTTGTATTTTGTACTAAATATGTGATAAGTGGCGTTATCATACTTTCTCCTTTTTTTTCCCGCTTGCAAACGAATATCAAAGAATGCAAGTCATAGGAATGCAAATACGGCGGTGACGGCGTAATCTTTGCATAAAGCTGTATATTTCAAAGATAGAAGACCTGGATCTTACATATCTTACAAACAGATTTCATGTTACAAAGTTTCCGTCTTGGAAACGTCAATTGCTCTTGATATCATTTACATAGTTTAGCTACTGTTAAAAAACTATATTGTCAGTGATGTTTTTCAGTCTTGATGAGTTAAACATTGGCATATAGAATGATTGTATATCATTCATGTCCATCAGACAGGGTTCATATGATCTTGAACTCATTTATACAGTCGATTCATCAACATGATTTTGCTACAACCTTTTCTCATATACTATTAGCAATAGTTAACAATATATAAAGCGTGTAAACTAATTGACCGTAATGTCCACCTGGCAGGATACATCTGACATTGACCTTGTTTTCATTGGTCAATGTTAAGTTTTGGGGACAATGTCCGTTTGTGAGATACTATTAACTATTTTTAGCTAATGTACTGATCGGTATGTGTACATGTTTTTGCAACAGTGTTGTACTAGCATTGGCTCGCACTTTTCTATGGTTCATTGGTTAATATGATTTATTTGTTACAATCTTCTATTAGACATGTAAAATGATTTTAAGGTGTATGTGTCCGATTTACAGGGTTCATCAGAACTTGACCTCATTTTCATGCATATGGTTCATTGGTCAATACTAGTAATCAGTTTTCTCGATTTTGATCCGTTTTTCAGATACTTTAAGTATTTTCCTACATTTCTATGCATAAAGATAAAATAAGATGTTGTATGATTGTCAATGAGACAACCCCACCAAAGATCAAATGACGTAGAAGTTGATAAGTATAGGTCACCGTACGGCCTTTGAAAATAAACAAAACCGATACCGCTTAGTTAGTTGTAAAAGGCCCCTAAATGACAAAAGTAAGACAATTCAAACAAGAAAACAACCGGCCTTATTTATGTACAAATCAAAAAATGAAAAACAAATATGATACACAGCAACATACAACAACCATTGAATGTCAGGCTCCTAACTTGGGAGAGGCACATACAGAATGTGGCGGGGTTAAACATGTTTGTTGGCGCCAAACCCCTCCCCTAACATGGGACAGTGGTGTACCAGTACAACATTAGAACAAACTATAAAAATCAAAAGGGCTCAACTCATCATATTGAAACGAAGCACAAAACAATCCTTTCAAAACACAAGACTAAAATATCAATCAGTTCACATCGAAAATCCAATAGATTTAGTGTAAAGACGTCATTAACAGTCAGAGAAAAACATAGCATTGCGCAATGCCAAAATAAATGTTTCAATAGATTGTAGGACCATGAACGTATTTACTATATAAAGAAACTAAAGAACATATTAATAATACTGAATAGCTGTTAGTCAGAAAAGTGATCAATTGAAATTTGTCACACATTGTTGTCAATATAATGAAAGGGTCGTCGGGTTGGTTATTTATTCCTTATTCGTTACTTTTTCCTTATTCCTTATTCGTAATTTATTCCCTTTTCGTTACCTATTCGTTACTTATTCCTTATACCTTATTCATTCGTTACCTATTCGTTACTTATTCTTTATTCCTTATTCGTTCCTTGTTAAATTTTGATATGTTTCCCCCTTTTGATGCTTTATTTTCTTATCTCTGGTAATAGTTCTTGGTTTTAGATGTGAAATTACTTTTTTAGTGCGTATGTACCCGTTTCACGCTCGACTGATACCCTGTTACTTATTCGCTACTTATTTGTTCCTTATTCGATTTTCATACGTTGCACCTTTTGTCTGCTTTATCTTCTTTTATTTTCTTGTCTCTTGTGTTAGATATAGATTAGTGGAGTTAAATAATCCTGTTAGCACATATGTACCAGCTTCTGCGCTCGAATGGTACCCTGTTACTTATTCGCTACTTATTTGTTCCTTATTCTCTTTTATATGTAGCACCTTGAGAATGATCTCTGTTCTTTTCTTTTCCTGTCTCTGGTGGTAGTTCTTGATTCGTAGAGGTGAAATTACCCTATTAGCGCGTATGTACCCGTTTATGTGCTCGACTGATACTCTGTTACTTATTCGCAACTAATTATTTGTTCCTTTTTTGATTTGTATACGTTGTACCTTTTTAATGCTTTATTTTCTTGTCTCTGGTTTTAAATCTTGCTTGATAGAGGTGAAACTACTCTATTAGCGTCAAACTAATAGACAAAACTTGCAGTTTACCCCTATGTTCTATTTTTAGCCATGTTGGCCATCTTGTATTGCAGGCAGGGTCATTGGACACATTTTTTAAACTATTAACCCCAACAAGTTTGGTTAAATTTGGTTCTGTAGTTTCAGAGGAGAAGATTTTTGTAAAAGTTACGGACGACGACGACGACAACCGCAGACGCTAAGCGATGAGAAAAGCTCACTTGACCCTAAAGAGCGAATACGTAATAGGGTATCAGTCGAGCGTGGAAACGGGTACATACGCGGTAATAGGGTAATTTCACCACTACGAACCACGAACTAACACCAGAGACAAGAAAATAAAAGAGAATATAGCATTTGAAAGGATCAACGTATAAAAATCGAATGAGGAACGAATAAGTAGCGAATAAGTAACTGGGTATCAGTCGAGCACAAAAACAGGTACATACGCGCTAGAAGGGTTATTTCACCTCTACCATCCAAGAACTAACACAAGAGAAAAAAAAAGAAAGCATTTAAAAATCGAATCAGGAAAAAATAAGTAGCAAATAAGTAACCGGGTATCAGTCCAGCGCGGAAACGGGTACACACGCGCTAATAGGACAATTTCTCCTCTACGAACGAGGAACCAACACTAGAGACTAGAAAATAAAGCAGCAAAACAGGTGCGAACAGATAACATGGTATCAGTCGAGCGCAAAAACTGGTACATACGCTCTAATAGGATAATTTAACCTGTACCAACCAAGAACTATCACCAGAGACAAGAATAGAAAAGAAAAAAAAATATTAAAAAGGAGCTACGTATAAAATTCGAATAAATAAATAGCGAAAAAGCAACGGGGTATCAGTCGAGAGCAGAAACTGGTATATATGCGATAAGAGGGTTAATTTAATTCCACTAAACTAGAACTAATACAAGAGACAATAAAAGAAAAGAAAAGAAAGCATTAAAAAGATGCAACGTATAAAAAGCGAATAAGGAATAAATAAGTAACAGGGTATCAGTGCAGCACAAAAACGGTAACATACTCGCTTAAAGAGTAATTTAACCTCTACGAACCACGGACGAATACCAAAGACAAAAAAAGAAAAAGAAAAGAAAGCATTAAAAAGATGAAACATATAAAAAGCAAATAAGGAAAGAATAAGTGACAGGCATCAATCCAGCGCGGAAACGGGTACACTCGCGCTAAAATGATAATTTCTCCTATACGAACGGAGAACCAGGGACAAAAAAAGCAGTTAAAAGGTGCAAAGTATAAAACGAAAAAGGACCGAATAAGTCAAAGGCTATCAGTCGAGTGCAGAAACGGGAACATACGTGCTAATAGGGTAATTTCACCTCTACCAACCGAGAAATATTACCAGACACAAGAAAAGAAAAGAAATAAAAAAATAAAAAGGTGCAACGTTTAAAAATCGAAGAAGGAACAAAAAAGTAACAGGGTATTAGTCGAGCGCAGAAACGGGTACATACGCGCTAAAAGGGTAATCTCACCTCTACAAACCAAGAGCTATTACCAGGGATAAGAAATAAAGCATTGAAAGGGGGAAACATATTAAAATCGAATAAGGAACGAATAAGTAACAAATAAGGAACAAGTAACGAATAGGTAACGAATATAGAATAAGAAATAAGTAAGGATTATGTAATGAATAAGGAATATGAAATAAGAAACGAATAGGTAACGAATAAGAAATAAGGAATAAGTAACGAATAGCTAACGAATAAGGAATAAGTAACCAGCTTGCATTTGACGACCCTATTTTTATACGACTGTCATTCAAGTGAGAGATTTAGCTAGCTATAAAATCAGGTTTAATCCACCATTTTTTACACAAGGAAATGCATGTACAAAGTCAGTACAGTTGTTTTCCATTCGTTTGATGTGTTTTGGCTTTTGATTTTGCCATTTGATAAAAGACTTTCCGTTTTGAATTTTCTTTTGAGTTTGATATTTTTGTTATTTTACTATTTGAAGGACCAGAATATGTGATTAAAATTCATTTATTCCAACACAGACCAAATTTGATGGGAATTAGTTTGTCTCAAATTTATTTCGTGTATGGAAAGATTGCTATGTGTAAATTTTCATCTGTCAGGGCTCCTCTGACCTTGATCTACATTTCATGGTTCATTCGTCAGAATTACGTTTTTTTTAATTGGAAAACTGCAAGCAGTAAATCAAATACTAGTATATTTGACTAATAAAATTATTTTTATGTGTACATGAGACATCTCAGCTTGGGCACTTTTGTTGTGTAAAAATAAACATATAATTAAAAACTTATATAACAACAATAATAACTTTATCTATTATTTTCTTTTAGATCCCATGGACAATCCAACAAAAATTTATTGTGGGATATGTGACGCCCAACATATCACGAAGACTGCAGATTTCTGGTGCCCGGAGTGTGACGAAGGTCTTTGTACTGAATGTAAAAACCATCATAGTTTTTCCAAAGCAAGTCGTCATCATGGCGTGATTCTGATAGAGGACTACAGAAAATTGTCCACTGATATTTCAAACATAATGCACCACTGCACCGAACATGAGAAAAATCTTCAAATGTACTGTCCACATCATAATCAACTTTGTTGTCTTTTGTGCATTTCAACAAGTCATAAAGATTGTACGGGGATGTTATCCATTGAGGAAATTGCGAAAACATCTCAATCTGGTGGTTTGTTGGAAAGTTTGCAGAAATCGTTAGAAGACTTGAAATACAATATTGATAAAATAGTCAAAGACAGACAAATAAATCTTACCAAAATAAAAGAACAACGAAAAAAATTTGATGATAGTCTGAAAATACTACGCAAAAGAATCAACATTCAGTTTGATAAATTAGAAAAAGAAACCGTTAATGAATTAAATTCAGCTGAGTGTGATGTGAAAACGAAAATTGAGGACCTGTTGAAAGAACTTCAGGAGAAATCAGAAAGGATAGCAGTATTACAAAAGAACATTTCAGATCTTCATAATCATGCATCCGACTTACAAACTTTCATTGGAAGCAAAACGCTAGAAGAGAAGATCGAGTTTGAAGAGACATATATTCAGTCATTAACAGAAGATGAACGTTTGAGACAGTTTTCCTTGAATTATAATTATAATAAGACAATTGAGAGTTTATTCAAAGGCGTTACATCATTTGGATTCGCATCGACTGAATCTAGTCTTCCGACTGTTGAGATCAAATTGCATAAGGATAAACAAGCTCAGATAATGTCTGCCAGCGTGATTCCAAAAGGTGTGGACGATTTCGATGGGACATTCTCGGGAAAGCTTCACGTTTCAAAAAAACAATTTAGTAAGTATTGCATAACTGATTGTGCTTCTATTCAAAGAATTCTTGTAAACTGTCATATCTGGTATAATACCACCAAAATATGGTACGTCGCATCCGGTTTCATACAAAAAAGGGTCGTAAAACATATCCCCTTGAATTAGACAGTTGTAGGAAATTAACCTTGCATTTCATTGCAGAAAAAAAAATTCTGAGTTATAAATATATACCTTGGTTGATTCACTTCCAGTGATTGTTGTTATGTTATATTTAATGACATGTTGTGTAAAATTTCGACTGTAGTACTGGACAGGGTAAAACTTTACTCATGCCAAGTTTTTCTTTATTTGAAAAAAGATAAAATTCTGCACAATTTCTTGAAAATGCCAATTTAACAAAGACTAATAGGGAAAAACAATGGTTTTGATTACTCCAATTTAGAGAAGCTACGTATACATCTCTAACCTTGTATATACTCCCATTTTTTTTTTTTTTTTTTTTTTTTTTTAATTTTCATGCTTATCTAGTGAGATATTGCAAAAATGAAACATTCTGAGTGATTTAAGTCTCAAAACCCCATTTGAGAGAAAATTATCTTGAAATAGGACTCTACCATGAATATTAGTAGGCAGAGCTATTCATACTCAGAGTTTTGGGGGATCTTTTCTTACTTTTTCTCCTTATTTCCTATATTTGGTTATACAAGAAAACTTTTTCCTAAGTAAGTCTTTAAGAAATATACAACTATAACTTATAAGTAAATGAAATGATTTTGGAAACAGTAAAAACAAATTATTCACTAAAAGGGATCCAGTATATGTCCCTCTCTGGACCTCGGCTTAAACATACGTTTTACGTGATGAATAATATTGAAACCTCTAGGGAGTCAGTAAGTCAGTAAACCTTTAATATATGGATAGTTCATTCAGCTTGAACATTTCAATTATTCGTTTATTATCACATTTCGTACATAAATGTGTGATAATTACCCTAAAATGTTGATTTATGGTGTTGATTTTCCCTATTAGTATTTGTTAAATTTGCACTTTTCAAAAAATTGTGCAGAATTTATCTTTGTTTCAAATAAAGAAATACTTGACATAAGTAAAATTTTATCCTGTCCAGTACTATATACACAATTTTACATAACATTTCATTGCATATAAGAAAATAACCATCATTGGAAGTGAACCAATCAAATTTTCACCCCTTTTCTTCCTGTGTACAAGCTTTAGTAACCATGTAACCATGTAACCACAAATTTCCAAAATATTCTATAGAAACACCAAAATAAGGCTGCTTTGAAACACCCGAGATAAATGTTTATGACTTTTTTTTTTACTGCAATGAAATATAGGATTAATTTCCTACAACTGTCAAATTCAAGGGATTATTTTTGTTCGACCCTTTTTCGTATGCAACCGGATGTGACGTACTATGATTTGGTGGTATTACACCTAAAGAAGAATTTTTTGTTGAATAAACAGAATGTGATTTTTTCCCTTTGTAATACTAGTTATTTCAAGGATTACTGTTTTGTCATAATCAGTTCAATAGTTTGAGAAAAATCTAGTATAACATGTATAATGTAAGACAACATCTACAGCGATTCGAGCAAAATTTCTTCGAAAAATCCAAATCAAGCGGCATCATCATAGAATATAGTGTGGACCAATAAATGATCAAATATTTATCCCATCTGCCTACAAACAGTTGAATATGATACAAAAGATGACTGTAGGATGATAAATACCACTAATGGACCTCTTTGTCTTCATTATAAGGTCCCTTTTGGTCCATTTATACTTCTCACTTCCTCAAAAAACTTTTTAGGCCAATAAATAAAAATTTTGGGGTAACTTTCACTCATTTATGGAAGAAATGTGATAATTAATGAATAATTGAAGTATTCAAGCTGAATGAACTATCCATATAAAAGTTTACTGACTCCATTGAGGTTTCAATAAGTCTTTACGTAAAACTAAAATGTATGCCGCGTTCCAGAGAGGGACATAAACAGCTTCCCTTTTAGTGAAAAATTTGCTGTTACTGCTTCAAAAATAGATTCCTTTACTAATAACTATATATTTATTAAAGTATTACTTAGGAAAAAGTTTTCTATTATAGCAAAATATAAGAAATAAGGAGAAAAAGTCAGAAAAAGCTTCCCAAAACACTGAGTATGGCTTGCTCTGTCTATTAATATTCATGGTAGAGTCCTATTTCAAGGCAATTTTCTCATAAAATGTGTTTTTGAGACTCAATCCACTCAGAATATATCATTTTTGTAATATTTCACTTAAATAGCACAAAATTTTTAACAAATGAGGGTACACACAAGGTCAAAGGTGCATGTGCAGCTTCCCATAATAGGTGTAATACCACCATTGATTTTCCCTATTATTCTTTGTTAAATTTGCACTTTTCAAAAAATTGTGCAGAATTTATCTTTGTTTCAAATAAATAAATACTTGACATCAGTAAAGTTTTATCCTGTCCATTACTATATACAAAATTTCACATAACATTTCATTGCATATAAGAAGATAAACATCACTGGAAGTTAACCAATCAAATGTTCACCCCTTTTCTTCTTGTGTACAAGCTTTAGTAACCATGTAACCACAAGTTTCCAAAATCATTGAAAATATTCTATAGAAACACCAAATAAAAAAATAAGGCTGCTTTGAAACTCACAAGATATATGTTTATGACTTTTTTTTTACTGCAATGAAATATAGGATTAATTTCCTACAACTGTCAAATTTAAGGGAATATTTTTTTCGACCCTTTTTCGTATGCAACCGGATGTGACGTACTATGATTTGGTGGTATTACACCTAAAGAAGACTTTTTTGTTGAATAAACTGAATGTAATTTTTTTCCCTTTGTAATACTGGTTATTTCAAGGATTACTGTCAAGTTTTGTCATAATCAGTTCAATAGTTTGAGAAAAATCTAGTATAACATGTATAATGTAAGACAACATCTACAGCGATTCGAGCAAAATTTCTTCGAAAAATCCAAATCAAGCGGCATCATCATAGAATATAGTGTGGACCAATAAATGATCAAATATTTATCCCATCTACCTACAAACAGTTGAATATGATATACAAAATGACTGTAGGATGATAAATACCACTAATGGACCTCTTTGTCTTCATTATAAATAAAGGCAACAGTAGTATACCGCTGTTCGAAATTCATAAATCGATTGAGAAAACAAATCCGGGTTACAAACTAAAACTGAGGGAAACAAATCATATATAAGAGGAGAACTACGACACAACAGAAACACAACATTAAAATGTAACACACACAAAAACGAACTATAATATAACAATGGCTATTTTCCTGACTTGGTACAGGACATTTTAAGAAAAAAATGGTGGGTTGGACCTGGTTTTGTGGCTAACCAAACCTCGCACTTTTATGGCAATGTTAAATATAACACTAAAATGACACCATTACATGACATGAATACAGTACAACATTACGGACAGAGAATTACGCAAATAAAACAATACAATATAGTATATTTTGACAACGAAACAAGAGAAACACTGAAGTGGACAAACAACAAACGACAATGCAACACACACAGAAACGAACTATACGATAACAATTGTCATTTTCCTGACTTGGTACAGGACATTTTTAAGAAAACAATGGTGGGTTGAACCTGGTTTTGTGGCTAGCCAAACCTCCCACTTTTATGGCAATGTTAAATATAACATTAAAATGACAACATTACATGACAGGACTACAATACAAATAAATGGGAGAACATATAGGACAGAGAAACATAAAATGACAACATTACATGACAGGACTACAATACAAATAAATGGGAGAACATATAGGACAGAGAAACATACGAATAATAGCTAATAAAAGGTACCAGGTTTAAAATTTAATACGCAAGACGCGCGTTTCGTCCACAAAGACTAACCAGTGACGCTCAGATCAAAAAAGGGTCGAAAGCCAAAACAAGTACAAAGTTGAAGAGCATTGAGGACCAAAATTCCAAAAAGTTGTGCCAAATACGGCTAAGGTTATTTGTCTGGGATGAAAAATCCTTAGTATTTAGAATAATTTATACTTTTGCAAACAGTAAATTATAAAAATGACTATATATTAGATATGCATGATAACACAGAAGTGGTGACTAACTACAGAATAAAAACGGATACATAAAACAACATAAACCAGCACATAAAGATTCACAGCCGAGTTAGTCAAAGAGATCAACGCAAAAAAAAAAAGGTGACGTCACATTTGAATTTCTGAAATTTCTCCAAAAATAGGATAGAATTCAAGATTTGGTTTATAATACTCATATAACATTTATTAATAACAATGAAAATTACAATACTAATTAATATAAAATGTGGTAGTAATTAGATAATTAATAGTATTATCTAGCTATGTCGGTGTTTCTTCTAAATCAAACTGTAAACCAAATATATCGTATAAATTTAGTTGACCCAAACTAAAATCTAATAAATGAACTGGGTGATTAATTATCTTTACCATAACACACGAATACAACAGAAAAAAATAAGATATACAATTACAAACGATTACAAATTACAAGCTACCTTTTGGTACATTTATACCTCTCATTTCCTCAAAATTTTAACTTTTCAGGCCAATAAATAAAACTTTTGGGGTAACATATTGTGTGTATACTGGTTTATGTTTTGTCTTGGAACACATGTTATTTATTATTTGTAATTGGCTTTTGAACTATTTTCAGTAATTGCGAGTACTCTTATATCGGTACCTTGTGTCTTTTATCTTTTTGTTAGTTTTGTTTTCGTGTTTTTGTTTTATATTGGTGCCATAAACACTTGTCTCTGAAAAAAAATACCTGTATACCTTTATTTAACATAAAGTATCCATCTGGTGAAAAATGACACTCGGTCGCTAACTTCCGCTTTATTTCGATTCTGTGGTCGCCTATGCTCGGAATCATTAGTAGCAGGCCTTCCAAAAAGGTTAACCGTAAATATTTTTTTCTGAAAATTTTACAGTTTTTTAATAAGTTGTGCTGTCATACCACAATATTTCCTGCAGCATTTGTATGTGCCTGTCCCGTCCGGAGCCTGTAATTCAGGGATTGTCGTTTGTTGCAGTCTTTCATATCTGTTTTTCTTCCGTTTATTGTTTAATCAAAATTAGTTGGTTTTCATTTTTGATTGTTTCACGTTTTGTCATTTCGGGGCCTATTATGGCTTACTATACGGTATGGGGTTTTCTCTTTGTTGAAAGCTGCACGGTCACGTATGTTTGCTTACATCCATGTCCTTAGTGAGTGTAAAACAATTTAAAAGAGGAAAGCAATGACCGTATTAATGCTAACAAAAAATAACGAAATTACAAAGATGACAGACATCAACCAACGACAACAATACCCTCAGATCGCCACGACGCACAACAAAAAAACAAAAACATAAAGAAGCGATCTAAGAGGACCCGCAGTTACGCAAAGCTGGTTCAAAACCAATTTCAACTTATACATAAACAATGTTTTCCGAAAGACAATTGTCAATTAGCACATATTCAACTGATTTAGCTTAAAGACGTCATAAACGGTCTGAGGACATGTGCAATGCCAAAATACGAGTATCGACAGGATGTACTGCTATAATATTTCATAACTGTTTAGTGATATCTAATATCAAGTAATGTTTTAATTTATCAAAAACAAATTAATGATAACCCCGATAAAGACATGATTCGAAGATCCCTCTTTAGTATTATAAGATAGGTATTCGGCAAGTAAGGTGGGCATTTCCCTACTTTCAGTTCAAATAAAAGAATGAGGCGATGCATCTGCCTTAATGTTCTTTCTTATTTCATTTTGACCAAAATCTTCATTTACAATATAGCTATTTCATCAATAAATCGTTCTTTATTTAAAACAAATGTGAAAAATAAATTCCGTAACATAAAATTTGTGACTAAAGTTCTAATAACAAAATAATATACATGTTTATTTACAAGAATGCACAAAGGATATGGAAAAATAACAGTATTAATCTGATCTGTATTATTTTTGTGATCGTAAGCTCTGGCTGGCAATTCATCGCCATAAATCCGTCTTCTATCATCAAAAGGAACTAACCTATTTCCTGTACTTTTTGAAGTTTGATGGACACTTTCATTTCACATACATTCACATACATGTTTTATCACATCATTTGATATTTATTGAACAACTTTTGTAAAAAAAACAATTCATGCTGAATTTGTCATACCTTTTGTTGAATGTTTTATCCCTTTAATCGTATACGAATAAAATCTGTTATCTTAACCGTACGAATTTTCTTGTTATGTTCCCATTTGTTTCGTCCTAAAACTTTCTAAAAAAAAAAAACTTTTTTCAATTTGTAAAAGCAATTATTGAGGAAATTAATTGTCCGTAATCTATATCTTCATACACTTCATTTATTCAACTCAAAAATTAAAAAAAAAAAAAAACACGTAATTCATATACATACACATCTTTCATCGAAATTACACATTTAAGTTCAAAAGCTACATCTAAAATAAAAAATCCAGCCTAAAGTGATATGTTGGTTCATGTGTGTTCATTTTTCAACGGCTGCTAAATCTTCGATTTACATTTAACTCGAACTAAAAGTACGGCTTGGCTGTATAATTTTTTAGATTGTGACAAAGTTATATTGTTTTTTTTAGGGAAAAAACGTGCTAAAGATCATGGCGCATCATGGGCAGCTTACTATGCCAAGTTCTACAGCCAAACTCCAAATGCCGAGTATGGTGGACAGACGCAACAAACAGTTCAACAGTCACAGCAGCCAGCATCTCAACAACCTGGTAAGTGAAAACAGTTCACTTTCAATATGCATATCCTTTATGATGTATTTATTTGGTTACTGTACACAAGCGTATACCACAGATACAATGAGACTTCAGTTTCTAGAACATTGGATTTTGGTAACACATGATTTTCAAAGTTATACATTATTTTAAGGGGTGATTCTTATCGCCGTATTAGGAAATTTCTGCTATTGTCAATTCCGATTTGTCTGTTACGATTTCTTGATTATACATGCTGATTTGCTTACGTTTCTGCCATGTCAGCAGATACATTCATGTTAATGATTTGGACAAAGTAGGCAAAGTAAAGACCGGGAACATTGTAGATGCAATTATGTGAAAATCTGGTAGGCTACAAAAGTGCTCTTAAATGTCAAAAATTTTTAGATGATAATAGCTGAATATATTTTTTTCAAGCTGCAACCATCAACCCACAAACTGGCCAGCCAGATTACAGCCAGGCATGGGCAGAGTATTACAGACAACAGGGAATGTTTACGCAGGCACAGGTTGTCTTACAACGAGCTGCAGCCTTACAGGCAGGGGCAGGTAGTCCTCGACCTATACAACCTCCTTATTAAATACTAGTAACTGGTACATCATCCATAAAAATATTTTGATTATAAATAAATTATAAAAATATAGATTTATTTGTTTTTTGCCTTTTATTTATCCTTTTTACACTAATGGTATCAACCATAAGCAATGTTAAAGTTTAGTGTTTACTGCCAAGAGAAACTACATTTTGATTAGTAGCCGAAACATATTGATCAGTTCTGTCGTCTGGTCTCATCGTCGTTCGTGTCACACTTAATGTTAACCTGCAACTCCAGGAAAAGTGCAGTACATAATACAGTCAAACTTGCAAATCTTCTTCTGTGGGACATGCAGTTGTACACCTGCTATTTAGATGTTTAATTAAACTTATTTGTTGTTTTTCTTTACCATATTATGATTGGAGGTATCCTTTTCTGTTTATATTCAAAATATAGCCTTTTGTGAAATTTTAAGATTGACATCCAGGAGGTGGCACAATAAAGTTGATGTAGAGATGACGCTCCAACGCTTTGTGCTACGTGTACTTCGATTTTAGCTTTTAACGACGACAATGCAGTGATCAAGACTTAGTCCTAATCGAAGATTTTGATGATAGTTATACATTAAAAGTTTATCTTAACCTGAAATTGACATGATCTTTTAAGATATGACTGTCTTTATTATACGAAAAGCTTATACATGTTGTATGGTAAAAAAAAAACTCTTCAGACTTACAGTTTGCAAAGTTACGTGAATATTTTCTGAATTTAATATATTTTATACGTCTGGTATATGATTGAAACAGAAGATGTGTATGAAAATAGGAGTACCAGCATTTATTTGATACGAGCGCTTTTCCTAAACAATATTTCGTACAAAGCGCATATAATAAGATAGTTTTAAAAAGGTTTTAAGATAAAACAAATGGAAATCCAATAATCCATTTTTAAGGGTTGAGATAAATGGTTTTTTTTTTATTGAAGGAAGTGCTAAACATGCAGCAAAAGGTATTCCAAAATTAGCACAAATAGAACATAAACATGAAATGTATGAAAATTGTTTATTTAACCATGATTCAAATTTAAGAAAAATGAATAGATTTAAAAGTGTCGATCATGTGTTAAAAGCTTAAAAGAACAGAAAAAAGTATTCGTTTATTTTTGGTGATAAAAATCTGCTTTTAAGAGATCGAATTATAACCAGTAGGATGATAAGTAATTTTCATTGTTTTTATGATTTTTTATAATTGTAATCATGTAAACACTTTTATTGATCTTGTTATACCTATTGTGTTTTATCGTTGATATACATTTGTACATGTATAAACAATATTGATACTAAGTATAAAACTAAAAAAAAAATAATGAAAATGGTTAGTTTCTTTCCGTTTAAAAAAGATAGATTCAAGTGATGGATTTACAACCAGAGCTTTATGTCAAAAGTACAATTCTCGTTATACAGTATTAGTATTTATGGAACTGTATAACCACTACAACACTTTTGTTTTTCCATATCCTTTGCGTTTTAATTCTAATATAGAGGTAATCCCGTAACAGTGTGGACGACACCTATGCTTATGTTGTTAATAATTGCAAATCATTTACCTTTAACTTGTTTGTCATCGGCTATCGATAACAATGACTTTACGCATACACAGTCTGTAAGAAGCCTTCCAGTGGGGATGTCAATAATCACTTGTTTCACATTTCGATACATAAAATAATTTTTTTTTCCAAAAATTTTAAAGGAATTTGTTTTAAACATTCTTTTTATCATCACAACCAACAGTTTCATTTAAAATAACAATATTTGTGTAAAAGGGAAACCGGTACAGTTTGGTCTTTGTAAAGATGTTGTGAATCAATTAGTAGTAAAAACAGAAATTGAAAATGAATGAATATATTATAAATCAAAAGAAGTAACAAATTAACAACAACCAAAAAAACCCATTTTTTTTTAATTTTTAGTCTATTTTACGAAAATTTGACAATCGCTTTCCCAATTTTACTGTATTACTGAAAAGTTCATGCGACACCCGTTTTCAGAACCTAGATGCATTACTTATATATATGTCTTTTGAATTTTTATGTCGTTTGTCAATTGGTTGCTGATTCGTAAACGAATACGTTTAGTCTGTGTATTCATCCTTGTGGTTGCAGTTCTGGTTTTTCGCATTTTTCCGTGAAAGAATGTCTGAATTTTCTTTGTTTATATTCATAATATTAGTGGCTATGGTTCGAGTATTTAAAACCCTCTTTTCATATATATATAGTAACGAAGTAATGTTTCGTAAATTGAGCATAGAACAAAATATTTTGTATTGTAAATGTAAACACAGATGAAGAAAAGGTATAAAGATCAATTCTTTTTTCGGCAATGTGTTAAAAATTGTGTTGTATGTCATGCAGTTATAAACAATTGTAAACACATAGTAGTCCATCATGCATTGCAACTCACTCAGTGGATTGGTCGGTCAATCGCCCAGAAAAAAATGCGTTATTTGTAAACAATCACTGATACATTGTACATGCATTGGCGGGAGCATTATTATGCTAAATATTGCATATCCGTATAAAGAAATCAGTTGCGGATCCAGGAATTTGAAAAGGGGCAAACTAGACAACTTGAGGAGTGGGACAAGTTAAAAGTCTTTGCATTAACCATATAATGAAGCTCCACAAGAGGGACAGCCCTTCCCCCACCTAAATCCGCCTCTGGAAATGTCCCGACCTGTGGATCACAACAATCTAGTTTCGAATTGTACTTACATGTTTTTAATCTATCCATCAATTACATATCTTTGTTTTAGAATAATTAAACAAAAGCATCATACTAAACAAATTAATTGTAACACATAGGTTATTACACTGTTACACGGTTTTTGTTGACACATTAACCTACAATTATCAGGTGTTACAGTTCATCAGCTCTCCGTTTATTATTTTAATCTGAGCATACAACTCAAGCTTTTAAACGTAGACACAAAATGAAGAAAAAGTGAGTTGTAGGTCACTGAAAAACACGTGTTCTCGTTAAAGTACGTAGTAGTCCACCATGCATTGCAACTCATTCAGTGGATTGGTCAATTATATGCTTCCCAATTGTGAACTTTCCATTTCTATGTAGCAACATTTTAGCAGCGCCTGCATACGGAGTATATATCTCCCAATTGATACGATATTCCCGGGCTTGTATTTCCTATCATGATTTCCTTGATAGAGGATTGCTGCTCACAAGGAAGCTATTAAACCAAGAGTTCCAAATGATGAAATTGAAATCATCCCTTCGTAAATTTTACGGACGCCATCACGAGTTGGTTGACCGTTATGGAATAACCGTTTCACAGATGATATCGGATATGTTCCTTATGTCGTAACTACAGTACCCTTCCCTTTTCACGAATGTGACCTACCGAATTAGACTATTTACCATATTTGTAATAACATGAGCAACACAACGGGTGCCACATGTGAAGCAGGATCTGCTTACCCTTCCGGAGCACCTAAGATCACCCCCAGTTTTTGGTGGGGTTCGTGTTGCTTAGTCTTTAGTTTTCTATGTTGTGTCATCTGTACTGTTATTTGTCGGTTTGTCTTTTTATTTTTGGCCATGGCGTTGTCAGTTTGTTTTCGATCTATGAGTTTGACTGTCCCTCTGGTATCTTTCGTCCCTCTTTTATTCTCTAAAGCAACAAAAAATGCTTATTATGCAAACAACTGTTTATATTGGCGAGAACATAAGTATGACAATATATACTGCAACTGTGATATTTGAGCAGTCAAATTGACCGTATAATCATTTGTGATTTAACTACAGCCAATTGTACTGGGGCCGTTCACAAGTGTTTCTCATGACCTAAAATACCACTTAGTAGTGGACTGTAGGTTTTATTAAATAGAGCTATGTCGTTAGGGGTGTGGCAACAAAACTACAACTTTGATGCTACTAAATATATATATGTAGGACTCTGAACCGCGATGGTACTCCGAACCGCGATGGTCATGCTGAAGTGCGATGGTTGGACGCTGAAGTGTGTTTTTGATCACGCGATGGTCGCATTGTGACACTATCTTGTTGATAGCTAAGCCGAAGTGCGATGGTGGATACGCTGAAGTGCGATGGATAACATTAACTATATTTTAAATGTTTTTATATCAACAAAGAAGTCAATTTGTTTGTTAAAAGCAGCTTTTCGAGTTTATTAAGTAAATCATCGAGAACCGTTTGATTTAAAACAGTCATGATAAATAGTCACTACTTTTCCAGTCATAATTGTAACGTTAAAGTTTACTTTTGACAAAAATTAGCCAACGTTCATACAATCGTTCGAGACGCTACATGCAACGATTATTTTCCTTTAAAACCAGTACTAATTTCAATGACTGCAAATGTGATAGCTGTTTAAAATGCAATATAATAAGAGCCTTATAAACTTATCACCGTCGGTCACGGGTTTTTACTGCAACTGGGGAAAATATGGAATTTTTTTTGGCAAATTCAACATTTTTAATACTACCGGAAAAGGTGAACAATTAGTCTTTTGTAGAAGATCTTTTTTTTAAATCTATAGAAGTTTTGTTTTTTTCGTACGATGGAGCTTGGAATTCTCCTACTACATATGAGTCCGCAGACAGACTCTCTTTATTATGCTATTATGGTAAACGTGGAACTTTTGAGTGCTGAGAGCTGAGATTACTATAACACTTATAGAAATCTCAGTGGAGAGGAACAAATAAAGATAAACTAAACACGCATAATGATGTCCACATGCATCAAATTTAAAGAGAACGATATCTCATTTAGTATGAACAGCGAACAGACCATCGCACTTCGACAAAGACCATCGCACTTCAGCGTGACCATCGCACTTCAGCGTCCCCATCGCACCTCCGAGTCCTACATATATAATCCAAGTTTGCTTTTCCTTTTTAATTTATTGGCCTTGCTATAAGTAATATACATGTATATTTTTACTTTACCTGTTCATGTATTGGATGTTACCATGCTGTCTGTATGATTTAACTTCTGTTTTAATAGATTAACTCTCTAGTTTTGAATGTTTAAAAGTTCAAAGCACAATGTCAGCTTATTTTATCTTG